CACTTGACACTGACTGTGCGAAATTTGACTCCCACTTCAATAACAAGCATAGCAACCCCCCCCCTTTCCCCCGTTCAATGTTGCTGAAGTGTATTATACGTCCAAGGTGTTACACAACATTGATAAGGGGGATAGGGGGTGTTTGGGCATGAAATTTTGCATAAAATGGGCAAGTATTTATATGGTAATCAGAAATGAAGTAAAGGTTATGCTATTTGGACTAAGTGCGCCAATAATTTTTGACCAGGATTGTATGTCCAATAAAGCTTATAAAATAAAATAAAATAAAATAAAATAAAATACCAATACATCGACACCCAGGCCAAGTCCTATGTGTTTTGTGTTCAAAACAGAGGTTATACATGTTCTCATCAGGCTCCAATATGGTACTGTATGTGTGCTTTGTGATTGGTGAAAATGAAATGTATCTCATGTACAATGCATTGATTTTTGGTTTTGGAATGTAAAAAATGAAATTTACTAGCTGGTAACTGTCGTGAACCAATTACTCTGCATATAGGCAAGGCGAAAAGGAATTCTTGGGAGGAGAGGGCTTCTAAAATTATGCCCGGGGGAAAGACAAATCCAAAAATGTAGGGGGATCTGGATGGGATTAGGGTGGGCTTATATGGTAGCATGTGTGATTGCATTATATTCATTATACAACACAGCTGCTCATTTTGGAAACATTATTGAACAAATATAACGTATCAGGGGTTCAGATTTAAAAAGTTGGCTACCTAACAAGTTCAATTGTACAGATATATAACATAAAAACAGTTGTTTAATATGTTACATGGAAAACAACATGTTAATTAAAGCAGAATGAAACACTTGAGAGACAGGAATATTTCAAGGTTTTATAATTACTTCATCATTCCAATTTTTCTCATGCAGTCACCATGTGGGCTACCTTTGGCAAATATCTGGTTGTCAGATGAAACATTTGGTTGCATTTGGCACATGCTTGTTTCAACCCCTGATTATATACAACAAACATTATCCAAATTACCTTAGTTATCTTCCCTTTAAATCTTTTCCCTGAAATATACAGTAGGTGGGCATTAAAATTGACCATTGTCGGATACAACTACATGCACACAATAAGTTGCATACCTGTATACTGTATTTCTAAAACATTTTAATTAACAAAGAAATAAAAACATGTATTCACCATTAGAACACCCCCCCCCCCCCAACAGAAATATGCCTGAGCATTCATAAAGCAACACCAAATCAGATTATAGACTAGGGTACAGACTAGCAAGTTTAGACTCACCACATTATTTTGGATATTGATGTTAAGTATAGAGCTTTTTATAATAATCAATTGGATATTTATAAAAGCAAAAGCATAGCAAAAACAACCCCCAAAGATCATGCAAACATGACACTTACAGTATGTGTGGAACCTGATGTAATGACAAAGCTCATTCATTGAAGTTTGACAGATGAAAATTTGAATGTTTCAATCAAATCATGCCTAACTAGCTGTACTCTTTACATGGTTTAATCAATAACCCATCATGTGGAAATGCATCACACCTTATTAATTTTACTTTGTCAAACAACAGACAATTTTGTATGTACAGTACTATTACCAGACTACCAAAATGGATGTCATTGCCCCAAAAGTGTTGAAGGTCATTAAATATTTCACTTTGTTTTAACAGCATAGCTGGTGAAACAAAATTTCACAAAGAAGCAGTGTGGACTATAACGGTCGGCAATCGGCTATTTGCCAAACAAAACACTAAAATGGCCGATAAATCTTATTCTGCACAGACATTTTGACCGAGCAAATAAAATGGGTAATTTTCATTTAAATGAAAGGTATATTATTTGACTAGTACAGTACTGATCATAAAGCATAACTGAGCAAGAGAAGGACAAACAAAATCACATCACAAGTTTATGGTACTGTACTAGACATGCAGAATATTCCCGAAAACACAATATATATTGCAATGAATCATTGGGACTGTTTGTCCAAAATTAAGTAAATGTGATTGATCATACAATAAAGTGATCAGCACAAGCTATCAAATTTATAACAATTGATAGCTGTAAATGAATCTAAATTTTGAAGAGTTGGCCGATCATTAACCTGCAATGTCCCAGCAACTGCACAGTTGATCTGACATATTTTTCAAACCAAAGCGTTCTAATGCATTAGTCATTTGAAACCACAGCCCCCCCCCCCAGGACTATGCAGGGGGGTTTTAACATTTCACAAACATTAAAAACCCAGTTCAAAATATCATTCAGTTGTTAAAAGACTTAAAAAAACCAGCTCCCCGGGAGGGGGAGGATCCCGGCACATGTGCCCTGTTGCTTTTTGTTTGTGTTAAAAACCCGGGTACTAGAAAATCAATGTTTGTTATGTAAAATCCCACCCCCTCAAAAAAATTAAGTCTGTTAAACCCTCGCTTTGTCCCGGGGGTCGGGGTTTCTGACTATGACTACTGAAATTGTTATAATCCACACTGCAAAGAAGTCTAAGCAAGTCTGGATTATCACATATTCAAGCACAATTTCCTGGGTGTTCATTATCAATCACAATTCTTAACACAGCAAAGGAAATACGTATAGATAAACGAACAATTCAAATGCCCACAAGACTTATTAATAAAGGCATGTTATAATCACAAACTAATGATGCAACTCAATTTTCTATATGTCTAATATCTGTCTAGTAAAAAATTTAATACAGCCATCTCTCGTACAGAATAAACGAAATATCAATATGTACACTCAGAACTACAGTATGATCCCACAGACTCAGAGTGCAAAAGCAAGCGGCAAGTACAGAAAAGTACAGCCTTTTGACTTGACTGTTGTTCCCAAACTTTCAAATTATAACATCTTTGTTTTGCTTTGACAGAAATAATGCAAATGGATTTTGTGAATATATGAATATTAAACTTTGTATTCACAGTTTTAACATACCTGTATTCCCGGGCTTTTCCGCCATTTTGACTTTCCTGAAGCGATTGAATGTGCGCAGATCATACCCAATTTACGTTCTTACTGAGTTTCCCCTAGATAGATGATTAGTATCTATTTGTGCCTTTTTGTCAAATGATGCTATTCATCTATTTATCCCTGAGACTGTGTTGGATAGCACTCCACGTAAACGGGATAAGACTGATCCGGCTACATATGCCGAGATTGAACGTGAAGGTGTTCATTTGTTTGTTCTTGATAAGTCTGTGTCCCCTGAAGAGCGGAAGGATTTTCAACGTTTTATTGATACTGTTCCTACTCCTGAGCGAAAGAAAATTTCGCCTACATTGAATTACCGGCATCCTTTAATGATTAAGGACGATAAGGATCGTCCGGCAGTCTTTAAACTCCTTCAAGAGTTTAAAGTTCCTGATGGACTTGCTGATTTCTCGGAGTTGCAGGTTCCCATTTTGCCTTCTGATGCTCCTATCGCAGATTTATCCTACCCTCGTTATGAGATGTATCGTACGTATCTCGAAACTCATAACCGTTTCCCTGATCGGTTGCCTGCTTTACCTGACATTTATCAAAAGGAGATTGATGATATGCCTGCGGAGACGCGTGATGCTTATGGTGTGTACTATTCGTTCATCCATCCTGAATCCTTGTCTGGTATTTCAAATCTTGTCAAGGACGCCATTTGGATTGCTATCCGTGATCGTACTTTTATAGACTATGACAGTTCATAACTGTTTTGACCCTATTTTTATACCAGTAGGCATTAGCTAATTCACTGTTCTATATATAGCTGGACTATTTATGTTTGTAATGATCTTTCGGGCCTTTAACTTGCATGCATTGCACTTTGTCATGTAAATAGTTAAAACGTTTTATTAAATAAGATAAGATCAAGTGTAGTATCTGTTCTTATCAGCTTAATTTATCAAGACCTTGGCAAGAAGACGCAAGAAAGAATTCCTGACGTTTGGCAACCTTGAAGCAAGTCCTTGGCCAAGACGAAGATGGAAGAAGTGTTCGAGTTCGGGGTTGGCTTACTCTCTAAGGGAGTATGTACAAGCCAAAGGCCGCCCAGGCTTTGTGCATATGACCGGCGAGGGTGGCCATAACCGCAACTGGGCATGCGGGTGCAAACCAGGAGTCCTTGGTCCACCTGTATCGCCTATTCCTCCCATGCTGCGATCCACCATCGAGCAGCTAGGCTATGGCCCACCTTTGTCATGGAAACTTGAACAAGATACCCTCCTAACGAAATTAGCACTCAAATGGACAACGAATACCGGACAACCCTCAAACAAGTTGACGCTGTTTCCTCCTTCTCTGATGACCGCCATCGCCTCTTTGCAAACTTCACCTGCCTCCTGGTCCCTTGAACAAGTTGACAACCACCTCCTCTGCTGCCTGACTTGGACCACTCCGACTACATCTACTCCAGCATCTCCAACCTCGACCCTCGACGACTCTGGCTATTCTTCTCCACCGCAATCACCTACATCTCCCACTCGACCATGCACTCCGGACCTCTCACCTGTACGCCTCGACTTTCCATCCACGATAGTTACCAGCATGAAGACATCCACAATACCTAATAAGCAAACACAGGATGCCTCCACTGCCACCACTACCGAGATAATAGTCGCGACCTCTACACAAACCTCTCCTCCAACTGCAATGGATGCCAGCACCCAGACATCCACAAATTTTAATCAACAAACCCAGGATGCCTCCACTGACCCCAGCACAACTACCCTTGTTACCTCTTCTACCTTCTGCCAAACCTCAACTCCAGCTACTGTGGGCATTGGTGTCCAGACATCCACGTTACTCCCAAATTCATGTCAGGATGCTGCCACCTCGACCACCGGACCTGTTGTTACTGCCGCCAGTTCTCAAACCCTCCAACCGCTCACCAAAGTTTCCACCACACAAACCCCCGTTCAAGATCCTACACCCTCAACCAGCACAACCAGTACCCAAGCTTCCTTCTCATTCATTCCAACCTCCAACCCACCAACTGCTAATACCTCCACCACCACCTCGAAGAAGAAGAAAAAGAAAGGCAAACCCGCTCCAGTATCCTCCACCGATGTTGCAACCGAATATGACCCACCTACTATCCAATACCGCCACTGCCGCCTCTGCCACAATCCGAACTTCGACGATACCAATGCAATCTCCCACCTCCTGACATGTGATGACCTCCCACGACACCTCCTCCATTATCGTACTGCCTTCTTTAAACAACAGTCCCTAACCACCGGTATCCCGATTGAGTCCCTCCAAACTCAAACCGCGTTATTCCTAACCACCCACAAGATTGAAGAGACCGACCCAGATGCCCCTAATTCCACCAAAGACTACCTCATTGGTCAACTGTTTCTGAGCGCCATGCCAGAATTTGAACAAGTCGAGCACTACCATGCTGCCCTCTGCAAATTTACCCACCACCTTGTCAGTGCAACCATGAAACACGTGAAACTTGACCCGGCATCAAACCACCAGCAGCTGTTCTACCTACAAGGCGTTGATTCCCTCCTCCATGATGATGTTGAACCTGACCATCCCCACCATCCATTTGACCACCTCGAGCTATACCCGGACAATGAATCCCTCCTCGATGATGATGACTACGGCTATGATGATGAATATTGAAAATCCAGGGGCTATGCTTCGGCATAGTCCCTTCCATCAACTAAGTCTTTATGCAGTGCACTAGGCACACATGTTTTATATTTTCATTCAGCCACTGAACTTTTTTGTTTTTCCCCCTTTATACGACACATACACAGACCGTTCGGGTACATACTTCACCATAGGTACTCGTCCATGAGAAAATCCACGCTCATGAGTCGACATTTCAAATTGTATGCAAATCCAAAACAAGTCAGCCACATGTTAGGTTTTATATATCTCTTAAGTTTCAATTTAAGGCACCAGGAGCAAAAAATAAGCTTAAATCAGTTATAAGTTTAGGACCTAAGACCACATGCGTGAGATAAACGCACTAGCTAGACCCCTCAGAAGGACCCCATCATTTTTCGTGCATCTTTAGATAAGAAACTCTGTTCTTATCAGCTTAATATCTGATATGTTAGGCAATGCCTAACTCATATATTAAACTGATTTTTTGGACTTCGGCCATGGGATTGAAGCTTGCTTCGCCCTGGCCACGGGTTGTCTCGGTATTGCACTACATCCGAGTATGGCCCCTTCCCCACTCGGGGAAGAACATTTTTTTATTTCAAAAACAAATCAAACTAAAAACAATCTCTAGCTTTATTAAGCGATTACACACACACACACTTAAGGGTTTTCACATGCCGATAGATTATTAACACCATACTCGAATACCATGTGAAATATAATCACGGCTTTTTCATGCATATATAACATACATATCATATGACTTGTAACACTTTATTATTATCCTATGTCGATAGTTTACACCTTGTGAGCGTGCATTCATTCAACTATGAACCGAATCGACTACATATAATTTTACTAACATACTTTTTCATTCTCTAGATCGTGGCACATGACGTTCAAGACAAGACGGAAACCCCCCGAACTACCACAATCGCGTCTCATCATCATCGCGTATATAAGGTGAGTGGCGGAAACAACAGCATACTTACCTGACGCGAGATCAACCTTGATCAACTAGGAGGTCCTCTCACTAGGTCTGCTTACCTTGATCAACTAGGAGGTCCTCTCAGGATGAGGCCCTTTCATTGCACTTCGACTGGGTTGACTCCTGCGATTACCCCTAATGTGGGTAACTCGAGCGTATAATTTCTGGTAGTGGGGACCTGCGTTCGCGCTCGTCCCCTTCAACATATATATTCATGTATAAATGTATAAAGCAGTGTTTTTTCTAACACTGCCGTGTGTCGATTGTTTTTGTGTAGAATCAGATGTCAAACAGATCATTTATCACAGAAGAGACACTCTTTATATATTCTCCGTGCCGAAATCTCCATCTCGTGTTCGTATTATATGGTAAGTAAAGCTATACACGTTTATATTTTGTAAGCACTTTGAGTCTTTGCACACTATTCAATTAATTCGCTGTATAAAGTCACTTGCTTGCCAACGGAATTTCAAGCCATCGCACATACATTCCAAGTGCCAATTAACTGGCTCGCATGTCACTCAAGCGCGCGTGTTTTGCCGGTCAAACTTATAGAATACCAAGTAAACATTTATTCAAACATCGCATTATTTCACGGTGCGTGACCCGAAACCTTTCTGGGTCACAATGCAATTTGCGAGTGAAAGAAGCTCGACGCATTCCTGGATCTTTAAAGAGCGCGAAAGCCGATATGTTCGCAACTCTCGTCTCCCCGTCCATGCCACATGGCCGCCGTGCCCCTCTCCACGACTGCACGCACGTGCGTGAGAGAACCGCGAGAGTTGCGGTAGGCGATCACCACGGACTTACCGGGCTCGTGCGACGAGTAATCAAGCGTTTGTCGACATCATAATCGCTCGCAAGCGAGCTCCTTCTCACCGCGTTTTCGTAGCACAAGTGTTCGGTAGAAATATGTGTGGCAAACGGCGAAGAAGGCATCGCTTCTCGGCTATTTTATAAATTTGTGTTAGTAATTTTATCCATAATATATCAAATTAGATATCAAATTGATCGTAAGAAGCTGCTGAATCGTTCTGTATAGTCTTTGTTCGTTTGCTGTATCGTGGTTAAGAATTATATTGGAATTTGTGTCTGTATCATTATAATTATTACTATTGCCCGCTATAAATCGGAGATTTCAGTTTTGGCCATATATCACGTCTCGTACTTGTTGGATCCGTTTCATATTTACTGTGTGGTCTACGATCCGTATTTGTGTTCTACTGTCCAAGTTTGGTGTTGTCAAGTTGTTCAGTTTTTGAATTATACGTGTTTTACGCATTTGTCCGTTGGTGTATTTTGAATTTAATATCGCGTTGGAATTTACTATTATTTCCAATTTTCGCCTGTGTATTCCTCGTTTATCGTTGGCTCCTGGTTTATATAACTGTTATTTCTGTTCTTATCGTGTCATTTGGAGTGTTTTGATATACATTTTGTCTCGTTATGTGGATTATTTTGTGAGTTATTCGTATTTTGGAGTTTGTCGCATACTGTTATTGTATTAGTAATATTGTCTATTTATTACTGGAGTTTCCGTATTTGCTGATAACTTTGGATTTATTCAAGTTATATCGCTGAAACTTGGCACACGTGTGGATAGTTTGGTTCTACAAATCCCCTGCAAGTTTTGTGTTGATACGCTGTATATAATTTAAACTACTGCTATTTGTTGTTTTTCCAACGGTCATTTGCCGGTTAATTAGTATTCGGATTCTCAAGTGCTATATAATATTTGGGGAATCCCCGTACACTGTTACTGTCTAGCGCTCTGTATCATATGGCGTTAATGTACGATTGCGTTCGTAACTATATCTGTTCTCTTGTTTAATTTGGAGTTCCTGTATTATATTTGTACTGTCATTCGCTATTATGTCCACCCACGATTCCCAATCTCCATTTGTTAAATGTACGGATTGTAGCTTTATAACCACCACTCAGGGTCACTTGAGCATTCACCGATCCAAAATGCATCACGCCGCTGTTCCTGACCATATTAAATCGGTGAATATCATCAGACTTTTCCCCGATGGGAAGTCGTATTATTGTTGTTTATGTGACAGTATTATTGGTTACTACTACTACTAAAGCATTTATTTTAACACGATAAGATTACAGCTGAACTGATGTGGTCGTGTATTTACAACAATAATTTAAGCTATATTATATTAATAAAAACTTATTACCCAGTCCCAGTCAATAATTACCTAAATTTAAAATTTATCTGTC